AACATTTGCTGAACAATGATAAAAGATGAATCTTGCAAATTTGCAGGTCAAAGTGTAAAATGCACACAGTTCCTGTGGAGACAAACATTTCCAACTGCTGTAGTTGTCTTGAAAATGATATATATTACATGTGCCTTTCTGATAAACACTACAGCCTGAACCAGAGGAGGTGTCTTGTGATAACAACCCAGTACACTGGTGTGAAAAATGACCTTTTCCTATGAAATATTTTCTGTCTCTGCTGACTTGAGGTCTGTGGTTTCGTAGCGGTTTGTCCTCCTCCGCTGGTTTGTGTTCATCACCCAGAGAATTTCCTAACAGCCGTGAAGCCATCCATCTTTAGAGCTAAACAGAGGCAGTTCTGTATCCACTTCCCTCAACACTACCAACTCCATTTGTCGTGGAACGTTCTAAACATTATATAACATCTGAAATGTCAAACTAGCACTTTTATACTCCACCAAAACAAACTCCAGGTGACAGCTTACGTGTGTGCTGATTATTATCCTTGTGTCTTTTTTTAGATCACAAACTCCTAAAATGAAGCATTACCCCTTTGTGACCCACTAACACACAAACTGTTGAGAGACCATGTGCTGATTTTGTTCCTTTTATCTGTCTGTAAGCATGTGGTAAAGCTATAAAGACATATTTGGGTGAATTGCGATGTACAGACATTCACAAAATATCTCTGTGTAACATTAGTACTGATAAAATAGCCTGATTTCACAATGCATAATTTACAGTACACATGACCATCTATATTTCTTTTGGTTCTATTTACTTTTATTTGGCCATTTTTACGTCCATTTCCATGTTGGGTCTTGATGTACAATCCTTTGATTTTTGTTTTTTATTTTACTTCTACAGATGTATCATGTAACATCTACATTTATTATTTCACTCTTCCTTGAGGCACCAGGCCTTTTAATGAAGCGCTACAGTTTCTCTGCGTCATCTCTGGAGCTTGTATTTGTGTCCTTTGAAGTTCTCATTCCTTTCAGTTGAATAATCGATTGTATGGCTTATGAACTAACCCTATGGCCTCCCAGTTTAACATAACCTACATAGATATGCAAATGCAAGACATTAAAGCTATGCAAAGTCAGTTTCATGCAGGATAAAGCTATCTTCTTTGATCTCTGCCGCCATGCAGTCTTAAATGTTAAATGTTAAGGCAGTCCAGTCTGACCAGTTTCTTGCAAGATCTGGGAGTTCATTCATGTTTTGTTTAAGTATTAAACAACTTTTAGATGCATGGCACATATCTTTGTCAAATCATCTTAAATTGATCTGATACTATAACAAGTGAGTTTTGGTGAAATAAGTAAAACCTGAAAATTAGCCTTTCATAATGCTACCTTGAGGACACAGGTGTTTTAGTTCTATACAGCTGTTATATACAACTGTGCCATGTATTTGGAATGTGAAAGCCAGCATTGTTATTTATGTTTTTGTACACATGTATGTTATAACTCCTTAAATATATACTTTTTTAAAAAAAAAGGCTAAATAATTTCCTAAAGCAGCTGGGTATTGTAGTTTAAATCAAACAGTATCCAAACATAGGGCATTAGCTGAGGACTATTTTCCGATGCGGATTAATAAATATTTGGTGCTTTAGTATTTGCAGCAGGAGGATGGTGTATGTGGCATTAAGGAATGTGTCACCCAGTGTAATAGTGTTTTTTTTTTCATAGTTTTTGGACAACAGCAGGGCTCTGTGGCACAGAGGAAATTCTTATTAGTACTAGGATGAATTCACATTTGGGTTTAGTCTTTACATTGGTTATTTGAACATGAAAAATATAAACTATCACAAAACATATGCTTAAAGCAGTTGACGCAGTGGAGGCACTACGCACAAGCAGGTTCAGGCTGCACAATCTGTTCAAAATGTTTACTTGGCACAGGAAAAGCAGCATTAAAGAATCATCTCCTGCCTCCCTTTGTTGGTAGCACTCCTGGGGTTTCAGTGGACCTGGCCAGAGAAAAAACAAGCCCAGTGCTGACCTCATGCTTCTCAAATGATCAACGCAGGGTGTCTTTCGTATGCTTTGATCCAGGATGAGGTAACTGCAAGCGAACACCTCCAAACCCTCAATGCCCAGTGACCTCACAGGGCCGCTCGGTGAAAGCACCAACCACCTGATTACAGACTCATTCAGGTTTGTTTAATACTCACTAGACTGACAAGGGGGATTAGGAGAGAGTGTGAGATGAAAGATGTGTTTGGCTGCATTCTCAGACAGCCTGTGATTAGCTGGGAGACACCAAAAGAGGAACAAGGGGAGATTAACCCATTTATGTGCTCAAGTGGTCAGATTATTATTTACAGGTTGTAGAAACGGCATGACTAATTTGTCTGGTTAATTTGCTCCAAGCTGAGATGTACAGATAGGTTTGGATGTTGGAAAATTATCTTTTTGTACTAATGAACGTTTTCTAAAATTAGTTATATGATACGATAGATAAAGAGGATGACATTGAACAAGAAAGGGTAAGAAGAGAGAGAAAGGGGGGAGGGGCAATCAAACACGGGGAGGAGATCAAAGCAGTGGCCTCCAGTGTTCAGTCCTGAGTGGAAAGAGTGTATGTGTGTGTGTGTGTGTGTGTGTGTGTGTGTGTGTGTGTGTGTGAGTGTAAATGTGTTATACCATCTTCAAAGATGTTCAACAGTTGCCCACTGCCCCTGCTAACCTCATGACATCTTCTAGATACACACGCACACACACACGCACACACACACACACACGCACACACGCACACACACACACACACACACACACACATGCGCGCACACACACACGCGCACGCGCACACACACACACTTTCTGATTCATCCTCAGTGAAGAGAATTATCCTACATGTCACATATCTCAGCTAAAAATATTCTGTTTGGTCAGATTTGGATTGTGTACGAGTTTGATAGCCAAACTTTTAATACATTTAAATATAAGCTACAATATGGTATTTTATGGAAGAATCTTTAAAAAACTTTTTAGCAAATTATGCTATTCACCAACCTACCTGTGTATCATTACCAAAATGATTAATTGACGATAGAAGAGCTCCAGTGTTGCATACTAAAAGGTTACATTAACATACATATATTTTGAGGAACAGCATTATACACTTTTAGTATGAGAAAACTGTCACGAATTTCATAAAAAAAAAAATAGATGGTACACAACAATAAGTTGTGTTTTGGGTTTAGGGTAAAGCATTACTTTACTTAATTATGTACATCCGTAATGTGGCCTGAGATCATCAATAATATGAACTGCATTTCATGGGACAATCTCACTTGAGTCGCTAGCTCACTAAATTATGGCTTAATAGTGGACCAATGCAGGTTATTTGACGTGATTATCAATCGTTCGTCAGACAACTTCTCAGGGTCACAACACTGCCCCGGCTGAAGAGCCTCTCTGTGGGCACACTGATGGTGTCATTGTAGTAAGTTTCGTAGATATTGTAGGGAAACGGTTCAGGATCTCTATCTCCAACCCCGACTTGAAATATTCAATGAATTCAGTGTCAGAGTTTAAGAAAGCTGTATCCTCCTCAGTGAAAGCAAATAAGTCATTCAGGCAATTGATGAGCAATGTTATTCTGTCCATGCCGATAATTAAAGAATGTATGTAAAGACTGTCTGATTAGTAACTGTAATGTGATTACTGATTCAGGAATAGTAATGCATGTTATATTAGTGTGTTACGGACAAATGCAACACTGCTCAATTATTGTATGCTAAACTGTTAGCCTGAGCAGCTTAGCCAATAATCGATAAACCAATAAATACTAGAGCAACCACACGGAGACTGCCGGAGAAGACGGGTCTTGGTTCACTACAGCAGACCCTGGTGTGTTTTTTTAAGCAAAGGATTGTGTGATAGCAGATAAGAGATTTCAGCATAATATCAAAAGCTTAATTATTGGTGAATCCATCTTTTGGCTGTGAACTGTCAAGAAAACAATCTCCCTATCTGTATAAGCGATGTGTAGCATATAGTTGTAGAAGGTTATTTTGTAACCATGATAACACGTTTGCATGTATATATGCATCACAGCATGAAAAGACGTTAGGCTTGTGTCAGACTCTGTATTTTAGCAGTCAAAGTAAGACACTGCAACCATACAGTAACTATCCTCCAACAACATTATGACACAAAATGTGTTTTATTAACCATGTTTCTACTTGTCCCTCTTTTTTATTACATATGAGGACCAGTTACCATCTCGACTAATCTCATAAGTTATTACTTTGTTCTTGAGTTGGACCCACATGGTGCTGCTGATGATGCACAATGTCAGTCACTAAAACTGTCCCATAAATTAGTTGTGTGTCGTGACTTTATGTTAACAGCTTTTGGTTCATTTGTAGTCAGTGTGGCCATGAAATGGTTAACACAAAAATAGTTTTTTTTTACTTGATCCTGGTCAAATGAACCTAAGTAAAGTTGTAAAAGCGACACAGCCATACCCCACAGGTGTTTTGACTTATGCTGCCTGATCAGACTCCTCTCGAGACTCTGTGGGTGTGTACAGACTGACTTAAGATGTATGATAATAATAATGTGTAATGCAGCATTACAGCACATCTGAATACACAACATTCACTGTGTGTAATTCCTCTCCAATGTTGCAGCAACACAGGCTCCAGTCTGCTCGATCACACTTATCATGTGATGTTTTGAGCCAAGTTATCGGCACGTAATGTTTTGTGCGCAGTGAGCAAACTCTGGTATGTTTTGTACAGTTGGCTGTGTGTGTGTGTGTGTGTGTGTGTGTGTGTGTGTGTGTGTGTGTGTGTGTGTGTGTGTGTGTGGGAGTGAGTGAGTGAGTGAGTGAGTGAGTGAGTGAGTGAGAGAGAGAGAGAGAGAGAGAGAGAGAGAGAGAGAGAGAGAGAGAGAGAACGTCCTGTTCCTTTAGCAATGAGGACAAGGAGACACACAACAGAAACAATAAGTCACTTCAGGTTTCAAGTGTTTACCTACCCGCTGTTTGGAGGAAGGCCTCAGTCCGAGATGGGATTGGCGACACTGCAGGGAAGAGGGGAGACAAAACCATTATGGAGAATATCAGTGTCATCAAAAATAATAATTATTTACTATTTAACTGTAAAACACAGTTCTGTCACCGTTAAACAAATATTAGGGAAGCAGTTCACCTGCTTGTAGAGTTTACACACCTTTTTTTTAAATAAAATTAAGCAATATGTTGAGAAGAAAATTGAGATTTCAATCTGTTTAGGTGCTTGTGAAGCCTTGAGGAAGACTTTTTAGAGGCAATGTATGTGAGTGTCATTCTTAAAAATATGTTTTTATGAATTAGTTGCTATGGTGTCTTTTTTTACACAACCAAATTTTATTTAACAATAATAATGGCATACTGCTTCATGTCGCATTTCCAAATGTTCCAACTGTTTTTAATAGTTTGTTTTGCGTAATGCAGCTCTGAACATATTTGATAGTGGATATTGATGACTTCACACTCAAACACTTTGACACAGGCTCCAGCTTTCATCCATGATGGTGGCACCCCGGAGGCTCCCAATAATTATGAGGCCAAATCCTCATTATCGTAACAAGAGATCTAACAAAGTGAAAGTTTCTGATTTTATAACATTATCAATAAAATGAAATAAAACAAAAATTGAGAGACTTCCCCCCCTTATAATAGACAATTGAGCTTGATTCCGCCCAGCTTGCCATCACTGTAAGTTGTCTTGGTGCATTAACTTCACCTAAATGCTGCAAATGCAAAATGTAAATGGCTGCATTTAAACTGCGAGCATTAAGACGACTGGAGCCATTAGTAGTATTTAAAGATGAATATGTTAGAGTTTTTCACAGAGGAGACAGAACAACGAATCCTAATGAGTCTTTAAAAGGCTCAACGTGAAACTCCCAAAGGAGTTATTTACAAAGAAAAAAACTCGGCAGAATGGTAATGAAGTCCCACATGGGAAGAAACACACACACACACACACACACACAAATACACAAAGACATGAACACACACAGTTTGAACACTGACAAAGACATTATTTGATCTACAGACTCTAAGATTTTAACACACAGTGCACACATACGCACACACACACGCACACATACACACACCACTGCCCACAGAACGTCTTCTAGTGCAGCAAAGATATTGTTTGATGTAGAGATTCACATTTTTTCTTAAACACACACGCGCACACACACACACACACACACACACACACACACACGCGCACACAGAGTTACACACAAAAACACACTGCTGCACTCAAACCTTAGATGATTTGATGTAAAGACTTTTTCTTACCCACAACACACATAACCACAAACACACACACGCACAAACACACCTTCTACCCCAACAAAGATATTATTTGATCCAGAAAGAAAGAAAGCAGGAAGCAGCAGTAAACCTTCAGGAGGAAGCAGGCTTTTATTTTACGAGCCGCACCATCTGGAGCTTTTTGGGGGTATGATGGAGAGTAGGTGTGAGATTGGGGTGAAGGAGGGTATAAGAGGAGGAGGGCAAAGGTGACAGTTGAGCAGGTGGTCATATGCTGCCCACATTTCTGCTGTACACTAATGCAGCAGCTTTAGCTGACGGGTCGATGGCGAGATGGAGGTGATTTATGTATCCCAGAGGTGATTGATGAAAACTTGGAAGAAAATCTATTTACCTTTGATACAAAAAGCCCTGCGTTTTTTCTACGGGCTTACTGTGACTAAGTGGGTTTTCTCAGTCTTTCATGAGAACATGTTCCTGGAGTTTTCAAGGATGAACTGGATCTTACAACTGTACTTGTCTTTTTTACAAAGATATTAAAATGATAATTTTATCACGATTAACTACAGCTCCCATGAGGCCTGAGAGAGCTGAAGTGTCATTTTATCCAGAGTGTCTGTTATCGTTAAAAAGTCTTAATCTACAAATAATGAATTTGAATTGAGTGTATAAAGACATTACTGTGCCATTATACACTATGATATGCTTAATTGCTTTTTCAATGAAGGATGACATATTTTAATGGAATTAATGAAAGGACACCCATGAGTAATTAATTACCTTAATTTCATTTGTTTGTTTGATGCATCTCTTTTTTGCATGTGAGCAAGTAAAACTAGCCTGTTTAAATAAGAGTTAAAACAAAAAGGTGAAATATGACACATTTAATACTGACTCGCCTAAAGGAGACTGCATTAATGTGGGCAGCAGAATATTTCTTATCACTGTTTTTTTTTTCTTTATGATGAATTAATACCTAGTGCGAAATAATGAAGAAATGTGCTGAGACAGAAAGTGTGTGTCAAGGCAAATAAGACTCATCAGCTTGATCAGCGTGTACAAATACACACACACACACACACACACACACACACACACACACACACACACACACACACACACACACCATGGATGTGCATTTAGCCACAACACACACAGTAGGAATGTAATGATACATCACCAGGCAGTTAAATTGAAATTCAAAACTCAATCGGTGAGATGAAAAATGAATCGTGATAATCTTTTTAAACAGCATCCTGTTAAACATGAAACATCGACTCCCTGATTCCTTCTAGCTCACTGTTTATATAGAGTACAAAAATGCACACAAAATAAATGAAGTTCAGTTTTTTAAAATCAATGAAAGATCTGAAACCAATCCTCCCACAGCCACATACACTTAGTGTGAAAACAAACAACAGTGAGCTTGGAGGAAATGATATGATTGGGGGTCACCACTTGGCACATGATGGAATATCAGCACTGAACAAACGGGACCTTTCTGCAAATATATGAAGATGAACAACTACATCTAAATTCTATGAAATTTAAAATAGCAAATACAGTATACAGCTATCAGCCATGACATTATGAGCACTGACAGGTGAAGTGAATAACACTAATCTCATTATCATGGCACCTGTCAGTGGGTGGGATATATTAAGCAGCAAGTGAACATTTTGTCCTCGAAGTTGATGTGTTAGAAGCAGGAAAAATGGGCAGTGTGAGGATTTAAGCGACTTTGACAAGGGCCAAATTGTGATGGTTGGACGACTGGGTCAGAGCATCTCTAAACATGCAGCTCCTGTGGGGTGTTCCCGGTCTGTAGCGGTCAAAAGTGCGCCAAGGAGGGAATATTATGACCACCAGGGTTCCCAGGTGGTCATACTGTTATGGCTGATCGGTGTATCATTCATAACTTATGACACTGCCTGAAGTTTAATCAAAGTGCAGGATTTCTATTTCCCCCAGACAGAAATATGTCTAGAGTCAGAAGCAACAGATCCAAAATAGATAGTTCATGTTTCCACGTCAGAAAGAGAAGATCAGATTTTCTGTGGTCAAAACAAAAGAAAAGTGTTTTATCCCTGGTTTTCACTGCGTGACACTTTTTTCTTTTTATTTTACTCCGGCAGACAATTGCTGTGACCTTTAGAGGAATATTACACTGCGGAGAGGAGAGAGTCACGGTGGCTATGACTGAATGTAGCTTTGATTGGAGGAGAGGGACCAGGTGAAGATACGGTAAGGCAAGGAAAATGAGAACTGGGGACTGAGACAGAGAGAGAATCACCTCGTGTCTTTCCTGTCTGATCACAAGCACAGTGGCATATTGTGGTTCTGACATTTTCTTTCAGACATCTCATCCATCTTTTGGGTTTTTGGCATCGGCAGCAATTGTTTTTGGAAGAATTGCGTCAAATAAGAAGGAAAATAGCTTGCAGAGTATTAAGACTAGTTGCATATAGAGGATATATATATATATATATATATATATATATATATATATATATAAAATAAGGAAAAAACAGAAGATGCAAGTTACTTAGAGATAAATAAATAAGCGTGGAACTGCTAATAATATTATAAAAGACACATTGTTGCTGGGTTTACTCATGAACAGTGAATGGCAGATAGTGTTCAAAACATCCTCTTTAAAGTTGAGTATTAGCTCAAGCAGCCACAACATATTAGGGATGTCACGATACTAGACATTTAGCGGTCAATACTAATACCAGTAAAATTCCATGATTCTCAATACTCAATTTGATACCACGGTAAAAAAAATAAAAAAATAAAAAAATAAATCCCATGTGCTTACAATTACACTACTTTATTTACTGGAATACTTGTAGGTGTATATTCTCCCCCTGTCAGTCCAGTTGCATCCCTGGTACAGTTACATTTTCAGAATCTTGGTACAGAAGAATCGGCTCTCGTGACACCCCTACAACAGATGGGGTAAATCAAGGCAATTTTTTGTGTATTTGCATCGTTGTTTGGTGTTCACATCAAATAGAAGGGGTTTCTCATGTACATTCAAATTAGGGAAATAAAACCCTTAAATCTCCCTGGGTCCTTTGTTCCCTATATGCCATGTAGAAAAATGAAAGGGAAATGTATTTGTGATAAGTAGGTAGGTATTGTTTCTGTAACACAGTGACTATTCAGTGTCAAAGCAAAGGAAACACTCAAAAGAGTGAAGATCATCAAGGTTTAATAATCTTCCCAGTTAGATGCAACAATCAACATCATCAGTGGATGCAAATACAATTTGGCCTGACTGTGGTCCTATATGAAAGGTCATATTCACCAAAAACCAATGCATTTCTTCTTGTAGGAGGTGTGAATGAATGAATTTTTTTTAGGGGTCTCAGTCAGGTCAGGAGAATTACAGAAGTGAAAAGTGGAGTGAAGGTCACACTATCAATGAAATCAATTGGTTTCTTTCTCTTGGGAGTGTGAATGTGTACTATATATTGGTCACAGACAAGTAAACAACCAATTGACAAAGGTGAAAACATGCTGTAACTTTCTTTTTCTTTTGTTTTCTCTCTTTGTTATCACTCAACACAATTAGAACAACAAAACATTTGTAAATAAATTAATTTTGGGGTATTTTTTATGTTATTTCTGGTTCCTTTTTCACCAGCTCCTTTAGCACTTTATGAAATATATTTTTATGACATTATATTATATTATTTTCTGGGTATTTATTGTCTTATGTTTGGTACTGAGCAGCAGTGGGTGT